TTTTTTAATACCTTGATCCACTTACTGGGTCGTGGATAAAGGCAGTCTAACAAATGAAATTTATGACGACATTTTCAGTTCTAAGAAAAACTTCATTTCTTTGGTGCCAAAATAGGATATGTCATATATGGTAGAAAAGTTATATTTGAGATTGTTTAATGCTTACTCAAACTCTTTGTTGTAATGTGCAATCTACTGAGGAGAGGAATAGAGGTGGACAATATATGTCAAAGTTGTGGAGAGAATATACACTACAAAAAAAATTGTTACATTCCAACAAAAATTTTCCGTTGGAATTCTTTATCTTTCCGTTAGAATAGCTATTTCAACGGATATTCCTACGTATAAAAATCCGTAGGAAAAATGACTATTGGAATAGCTAAAATCCAATGGAAAATCCCATGAAAATAAATTCCTACAGCTATTTCAACGGAAAAAATCAGTTGGAATTCCTCAACTATTGAAACATAGTCAACACTTATTCCAACATAAAATTAAGATTGTTGGAATAATTTGGAATGGCAGTGGAAATCCCGAAACTTGTGGATCTTCATGTTGGGATCAACAATTCAAAATCCAATTCTCCATCAAGCCCAACATACAAGCCCAAATGAGGTTCCACTCTAAAACCAATTGGCAATAGAGGGAGTAGCCCACTAAGCTTATATATTGACTTGGAAACCATTAATTTTCCGATGTGGGATTGGGTTTGCACACCCAACAAACCTCCCCTCAAACACAAGACCACATTGGCCTCCCCTTGAACAAAATTCATACGATCCGACCACCTTGTACCACCATTATCACCCACGGAACCCGCCTCCTGACCACACTCTTTCGTCAGGAAGACTTTCGACACAAGGCACACGGATCCACCGGCCCTTCCGGCTCCACAGGGAACATGCCACGTCATCCACATCGCAACTGGGCTACCAACCGTGGCTTTGATACCACTTGTTGTGATCAACAATTCAAAACCCAGTTCTCCATCAAACCCAACATACAAGCCCAAATGAGGTTCCACTCTAAAACCAATTGGCAATAGAGGGAGTAGCCCACTAAGCTTATATATTGACTTGGAAACCATTAATTTTTCGATGTGGGATTGAGTTTGCACACCCAACACTTCAAACAAGAGTGGCTGCCATTCCATGTTGTTGTCAAAGTAGCGGTGGCAGACTGGCAGGAATTTTCATCTCGGCTCGATATATGATTTGCAGTATTGGAAAGGAGGGAGTATAGGTACCTTGGTTTGAGTGGGCACTCCTTTTTACATTGTGGATTGTTGTACCTCTGCTATTTTTTCCTATTTGTATGTGAGTCATGTTTCTAGTTCTATTATGGTGTTGTGGTTGTTGTGCAAGCTAAGGGTCCCAGAAGTCTTTGCTGCCTCGATCGGCTTTGCTTTGTTTTGAGTAGTTTGGTGTTGTGTATCTAGTTCATGGAGTGTACGTGGTTCTCTTGTGCTTGGTCGCATTGAACAATTTTGCTCTCGGTTTGTATTTCTTGTACTGTTCTACGTTTGGTGATATAAAATTTCCTATCGTTGGAAAAAAAAAAACTTGGTGATTTAAAAAATCTCTTTATATTTTTGAATTCCTATCTAACGATTGATATTTCTTGTTTCTCTCTTTTATCTTTAGATTCATATCTAATGATCCTTAAGCGTACTCTTGGGAGTGAAGAATAAAATAACTAAGAGCTTTTCTCAATTATTATATTTTTTTTTTAATTTTACTCATTAGCTAAGATTTTCAAAATTTAAAAAATAAATAAACCAAGTCACTTACGGAAATGGAAAGATAAGGATTCTAACACTCGGTACAATAAACTCGTACAATGAAAAAAATAAAATAAAATTATATATTTTGTTTAAGTTGGAAAATCGATATATAGCAATTTATAATAAAAAAATTAAGAGAATTTATAATATTATTTTAAATTTTTAAAAAATAACTTATATACTCAATAGTTTTATTTATAATATTTTTATTTATAACATGGAAAAAAATAATATGAACGGAGCACAAAATTTGAAAAGTGCAATAATATGCACATTATGAAAAAACGAAAAGAATAACTAAATTTATATATGAAATTGTTTAAATAGATTAAATATGCGTTTTAGAACAATTCAAATCTAAATTATTTTGTATAAAAAAAATAACAATTTTTATTGGACTATAACAAAACTGCTAAAAACAATTATAATGTGCACTTGTTCACCCAAAGTTCGAGGTGGCCAAGGGCCGATCCGGCCCGTCGGAACCGTGGCCATGCGGGTTGGTTCTGATTCTTCAATTATTTATTTATTTGTCTGGGTGGTCCGAGTCGGGGCGGGTCGGGCCACAGGTTGAAAGACGGACGACGGTGTTGTATGAATATCTTTTTTTTTTTTACTGGGCCAAACCGGCACGTAACCAGCCGAAAACCAACGGTTATGGTCCGATTCAATGATCCGGCCCATAGAAATTGACGGGCTATTAAATTAAGAACCACCGACCCGGCCATTGGGCACGTCTATCCAAAGTTTTGAAATAATCTAGGAAGATCAACAATATGAACGCCAATTCCAACTAATATGAGCAAAACACAACACCCTTTATCAAATGGGCAGCAATTTCCTAAAAACAGTAGCATCAAACTGATTAAGAACTGGTAAATCACATGATCTTCCAAGGAAAAGACATATATAACCACATAGTAATTAATACACACACCATTAAAAGAGAGGTTAAGGGCAGTAGGTCGAACTTCTGCCCATTTTCTGTCTGTTGTTACATCAATTACACTTCTCGAGTCCGAAAAATTCGACCCTACAGTCACACGTTGGATCAACACAGACCCATGTGGGGGTGTGTGCGTGATCCAACGGTGAAAAACTCGTTAAGGGCAGTAGGTCGAACTTTACACTAGAGTCCTATGTATGCACACCACAAGAGTACAAAGAAAACTAAAAAGACAAGACAAAAAGAGAAAAAAAAAAGGAAGTGTTATAAAATACGGGGAATATAAAGAACACAATGTATAAAAACCGGATCAAAATTTCAGAATGCTATTCTTTCTTCTTCACTTTCGTATGTCACACAAATTACACTACATGTGTTGCCTTTATATAGGCAAATTTGGCACACAATTCAAGAAAATGATAACATAATAATAGTATAAAAGTGATAAGATTATAGTGGATAATTCCACATATTTACAATACTCCCCCTTGGAATTACCACTATTAAATGTGCGTTTATGCTGCCTCGTTAAAAACCTTATCTGGAAAACCCTGTGGGAAAAAACCGAGATAAGAAAAAAAAGAGTACAGCCGCACATACTCCCCCTCGAGTTATCATCCGTGCAAATCTCG